AGCCTACAAAGTCTGTAAACCAAGGTTGCACCTTGCTGCTGTTTAGTGCACTCAAAACAATAACACTCAACATTAAAATCAACTTCTACTCCATCCTAATCATCTTCAAGAACAAACATTTGCTACATCAAACATTTGGTTGTTGATCTATGATCTAACGAAATCCAAATCAAAACCAGACCTTAAACCAAACATTGGTTTTTCATGGCATGTATCTAGGTTCTATGTTAAGACTTAGGCTAAAAAATTTAACTGTCATCTGCTTAATTTCTGCATCCTCTTCTAGCTCAGTTTCTATAATCAAAGCAAGTAACTTCATAAAGGTTGCATTATAAGCAATGTAAACATTTATTTAGCTTAGGGATAATCAAATAATGGTGAACCACATTACACATATTCGCCAAAAACACCCTTAATTTAGGATCACTTCTTGTTTCACTACCAATTTATTAACATATTCGCCTGGCATTTCATAAATAAAGTCTTATATGCAACAGACAATTGTACCTTCTTCAAAAGCATTACAGGAGAATGATGAAAGGTCGTGTTTTCTTATCACACGTATCAAGCAAAAGAGTTCCTAACAAGTTCCAGGAAATTAATGCTAAATTATAGTGGCATTAAAAAAACCTCCATCTCCAGGTAGTGCGTATATTTGTATTGTCATTTGTATCTAAAGGAATACAAGAACAAACTCGTGGGGAAGATAGTAAGAATAATTCACCTCAGCTACGAATCTCTTCATTTCTTGGCTTGGTGGAAGGCCCAGTTGCTTCTGCCATTAATCAAACTACAACAAGCACATGTAGAGAAAATAGACTAAATAACATCTTATGTCATATAAAGACACAATCGATTTTAGTTTACCACAACAGCAGGTCAAGTTTCTTGTTCATGAAACTGTGGTACCAGTTGCTATACAAAAAATCGGTTGCTATAAAAAAAAAAACCTATCATACCACATAGGTTAACTGCAATTCAAGTTTAAAAGTGAGAAATCAAAATTCAATAGCATTTAAGTTCAAGAACTAAAAGTGGGAAATCAAACCCTAATTACCTGGACAGAAATTGGAACGGAAGGAGAGTGTGATAGAAAGAAGTCTGCGAAAGAGGGTACAAACAAGTGAACCAAAATCGATGGAGAGTGATTACCTGGATGAGAGACTGTAAATCGATGGAAACAAAGTAAATTCGATGGAACCGATTGATTACCTGGAGAGTCATAGACTGAGATTAAAGCCTGAGTTATGGATAAAGAGTCTCTTTGAAGAGGATGAGCCTGAATTGATTTGAGTAAGGGATGAGTGTATCTTCGATGAGGATGACCCTAAACCCCAAGCTTGAATCGTATTTTTGAGGGCAAGTCTCTCTCTCAGGCACTTCAAGAATCATTTCAAATTTGAAATATGAAATTTGAAATCTGAAATTGGTAAGAGTAGAAAAGGGAGTGATAGGATACAGAAGAAGAAGAAGAAAGTAGCCCAAATTGGTGATTGTAGAAGTCTGATAAGCAGAAAGAAGGTTTGACCCAATTAGGATTTGGTATTGTATGAAATACTTGCATAAATAACTTGTACATTGTGCATGATAATTCGTAATTAAGAGATTTTTAAAATTTCTGCATAAAATGGTTGTAACATGTGTTTAAAGGGTTGTAATTAAGATTTTGACTTAAATGCTTATTAAT